GGAAAGCACAAGGGCCTTATATTCATAGCTATCAGATAAATCCAGAGGGAATGTGCCTAGCTGTGTTTGCACAGCTTGCTTTAGGAATTGCCCTTTCTTTTTGACACTCAGTTACCTGCTCTTTGATCTGATTCAACAGTTAAGTGTGCAGTGCTAGAAACTAACTCTGTCTGAAGTTGGACATGTACCATTGTTCCCAGAAACCTATAGAAGCAGTCCAGTTTTTCCGAGATATTGAGTACTCTGCACACAGTAGAGCTGAAGGATATTATCACCCTTGATTTTCTGGCCATAATTTCTTTGATAATGGAAAACCAATCAAGATTAGAGGCAGGGCTAAAAATTACTCTGAAACATGTGAATAGGCCTGACCTTGTATCAAAAAGCCCAACCTGTCTCCTGCCTCTATCATTCCTACCTTTCCCACACCACATACTACACTTTGCAAGCACCTCATCCCTTGGACTCACTGGTATGTCTGAATACCTGCATTTCCTCTGGCACCACAAAGCACAGAGCTGAGTTGATGTGGGAGTCACAGGTGCCTATACTGGAACAAGTTACCATGGGCCAGCTGCTCCATGCTAGCAGGACAGGAGAGCACTGGGCAGCTACAGCTACTCAAGGGCACTACCCATAGAGTGCTACGTGCTTCATATGTGCTGCAGTGTAATAGTCTCTATGGTGTAGATGCCACAAAGTTAACTGATGTGATAACCTGTTGGGAGTGGGGCCAGTCTCAAATTCCTAACGTTTGAGCATGAAATTCATGACCTGCTCTTTGGCATCTGTATATGCCCCAAATTGCATCCTGTTAAGTGTTTCTGTTTTAAAACTGTGAAATAAGAATTCAAAGACAGCCACAAAGAAGTTGGGTGACCAAAAGATGGCCCAATAAATGTCATGACTAGAGAGAGTCCTGCTTATTCATGCACAATCCAAAGAAGCCATACCTGAAGAGTGCAAGAATGGAGGGGTGCACGGCCATCAAATCCTGGTACCCAGACCACGCTGGCATTGCTGCTGGTGACTTGGCTTACAGTTACATTGAGAGGTGGGAGAGGCATGGCTATGAAGGAAACAAAGAGACCTTTCAGTGTACACAGAACTGAGCAGGTATTCACGTGGACGTGGAAGAGGCTTGAGTCTAGAAATTATACAATGAAATCACTAACAGAAATGGTACAACATCACATCTTTAGAGAGCATCCCTAACTGTTGTGAATGAAACTATTATATTAACACTGAACAAGCTATTGGCAGCCATTCTTTCATTGTCCAGCATACTTGCCTGCTCTACACAGAGGAATGCCAGTGTGTGATGTTTACACCTTTGCTACTCAGCCCTCTTCCCTGCCCCCTCCATTACAATGCATGACCTAGCCCTGTGCACACAAGCACATAATTGCCTGTGGACCTACATTGTGAACGAAACCAGGGCTTTAAAATCCTGTCCCTGGTTCTCAGTCCAGCCTTCAATGCCAGCTCTGCCAGCACCAGGTGAAGGGTGGTTTGCTGTAGTGACCCAAATCTTCTGCAGCTGGATTTGCAGTAGGTCACATTATGCTGTGAAAGCACTGCCTCCACAGGTCCATTGCAAACTCCTCCTGAAATACCCTGGGACAGAGCCTGGACTGAAAACTGCCTCATCAGGCTTGGTAGGAATAAACTGTGTTGTACAGAAGGGCAATTCAAGGCAAAATGAGTGTCTGTCATGTAGCTGACACCACTCTACAAATTAAGGACAGAACCAGGAAAAAAAAATTGGGATTCCCAGACTGGACATTTAATTAGATGTTTATGCTTCCTGCCACTGCTGCACAGCACCAGAGTTCCTTTTAGGATCCTTGATGTTTCCCTTCCTCTTTTCTTCATACTGTAATTCCACATAGTTACTTCCTATTCTTCCTGATATACCCCTCACCATCTCTTTTTCACCCAAGTCTCTGTTTTCACCCAGGAACCTCACTCCTGACAAAATTACTGGCTTCATGAACACTAACCTTTCCACTGATCCTTTCCTCATTTTAAAAAAATTCTATGCTGCTGCTGTGAGTAATACTTTTCCTGCAGTACCTCAACAAATTATACTCTCAGGAGTCCTCTTTCAAAAACCAAACTGTCTTCAGGGTAAGGCTCTGCCTGCACATAGAGATTTCCACCTCTCCTGAGCTGTACCCAGTGGGAAGCAGCAGTGGAAAAGTAACTGCAAACCAGCAGTTGCTCCAGCTGCATCTTCTGCTGTGTCAGAGAGTGCCTTTTTCTTTCACTGCTCCAAGAACAGCCACAATACCACTGACTTCAGCATTTCCACTTGACCATCTTGCAGGAGAATTGCCTCACCCAAAGCCCATTCCCAGGTCTCTGCAGAGGGCCCAGAGGAGAGGATGGGGCAGCAAATAGATGGTGACACAGATTGACACCATAAAGCCTTTGTTGTCTGGTTAACTAGTTATCAGGATCCAGGACAGGGGGCTGCCACCTAGATAAGAACAGGGTGCGTGGGGGGGAGGTGGAGCAGCAGAGCAAGGGTCTGGGATTGAAGATCAGCAATAAATTCTTTGCCTTTCAGTGAAAGATCTGTGTGAGTTTACTTAGACTTTGTTGCATCTTTGTTTTGTTTTCTTTTGATGTTGGGTATTCAGGTCTGTAAGCTCCTTAGGGGGGAAAAAACCAGCTTGCTTTCACTGCTTACTTGAGTATTGTTGAAAAATTGTCCATAACTCATCTTTTGTAGACACACTTGTAACCTTTGGGTTTAGCAACATGTAATTTTCAACACTGGATGGTAAGCCCAAAGGAGGTATGGGCTATGCCACCAGCAAAAATAAATAATCAACTGCTAATGCACCCCCCTGGAATGGAGACAGCCACTGAGGAGGGTCAGCTTGCTAGCACCATCCCCTGACTGCAATTTGTAGGGGGGTCAGATGCATTTCCCCATCAATTCTTGGGAAAAAACTGTGGGGGGCTGTTTCCTGTTGTGCTCTGAAACATGGGATACTGTCCTAAAAGTGTCAACTGCACACATAAAGGAGAGTAAAGCCTGTATGAAAACAGGACCTTGAGTGTTAACAAAATGAGAGTTAACTTCCTCTGTGCTTGTAGAGTGGCTGGAACAATGGGGCTTTGTACATGGCTGGGGACTGTGGTCTACAATAATAGTAATTTTCTGCTTGGAGTACACCCAGCACATTGTGGGCACTACAGAGAATAGATAATGAACAACAACAGCAGCAAATAGGAAGAAATGTTAACAGTTTGTAAATGTCCTAGCAAAAATATTTGCCTCTGGAAACACAGAAAGAAACTAATTGTTTAATAAATTGTGGAAAGATTTAAAAATCCACATTAGCAGATGGATTTGTGTAAGACAGGAAGACCCTGAACATGAATGCATGGACAGCGACTCCCAGGAGCAATTTCATTAAATTCTGCATGTTCATAGGACCAAAGAATAAATAAACATTATTTGGGCCTGCTGATATTCTCGTTAAGAGCTTTGCTTTACTTTTAGCAGGGCCTGTACTGGATCTTCAAACATTTTCTATTTAGAAAAGCCTCATCACTTAGGTAAGTTTATAACTAGTCTTTTAGACATATCTTTGAGGAATTACAGTTAGAAATTTTTATGACTACAGCACCAGACTTGCTTTTTTAAACCTGATTTTTGTCTCTAGGACATGCCACATACTGGTGCAATATTTGTTGGATCACTCAAACTTGCTCTTTCTCAGCTCTAGAATGTGTGTGTGCACACAACTGTGTGACAGTGATATGACCCTCTCAAATAAACTGTGAGGATTCATTAGCTGATGATTGATCCCTATGGAGCACTTTTTGGCTAAACATAATTGCTGGGAATTGAGAGAATTCTGAGGTCTTTATCCCATCATCTTATTAATGGTTGGGAAAGAAATAAATCTGTTAACATTAAAAAAATAAAAAAAGCTTGTTTATGCTAAGTGTTATTTCAAATTACAACTTAATGAGATTTTTTTAAAGCATAATAGCTTTGTTAGAACTAAATTCTATCCCAGGATAAAAATATCCATAGAAGATACATTCCACAATAACTAACTCCTCGGTGTAGACAAGCCTTTAAGGCAACAACTCCAGATGGTTTTAAATTAAGTTATAAATCTTGCTAGTCCAGCATACTGCATTCTTGACATAGCAGTAACCACAATGTCCTGAAGAAAAACACACTGTAAGAGAGGTAGATTACAGCTGGATTTTAAGCTATCCTTTAATGAATATTAGTTAATACAACTGTGAGTTCTGATACTGGTACAGACATAAATTGCTTGCTCTTATTTGTGCTGAGCAATAAGCTTCCACTTGGAACAAACTATTTTTGTGCTATGCCTCTCCTGGAACTGATGATCATGTAATTAAATGTGAACTAAAGCATGACTAAGAATTCAAATGCAGAAGCATCTCAACATGAAGAGGAGGGGAAGAGCTGATTGGTCTGATTATCCCTGTTTCAGTCACCTGGAGGAACCAAGGAAATGTCACATCAACTTGGGGACTTCCAAATGGCAACTGGTCATGCACAGGCTAGGAATTATGTGTTTTCAATGAGTTTTTAAACAGCAAAAAACTAAAAAATAAAATCCATAAACCTAGTGTGGATGAACAGACCTTACTGGCCACTGGTGATGATCTTCCTTGACTTTTTTCAGCAGTTAATGTGACGCTAACAGAAGCAAGCAGAAGTAATAGTCTCTTTAGCTCTAACAAGACCCATCTATTTCCAAGAAGGAAAGACTTTTCCGGCTACAGATTTATATTCAGCTTCATCTTTCATGACCAATTAGACTGCCCCAGCTCTCTCCTTTTCGAAGAAAAACTGTTATTTGACATCACATTTCCATTCCTGAATCAGATGTGGTTTATTTTCAACACCCTAGAATATGGCCCTGCATAGGAAGTGGGAACTGCTGTTAGAGCACAAAGCATTGTTTCATCTGCTGAGAGCTCCAACTGGCACTGGTTGCTGTAAGCTTTGAGGCAACCCCTTGCATTAAGGAGCCCTACTTTCCCTCCCCAGAAAGCAAACCCAAGTGTCTTGCCCAGTCTCTTGCACTCTCTCACCTTTAATTTGAACAGTGGCTGTCCGAGATGAAGACAATCCCTTTATGTTGTGAGCTTCACAGGAGAAAACTGTGCTTTGATTAATACCTAGAGATCAGCCAAGAAAAGGAAAGGAAACACAAACAGCTATATAATCCAGCTTCAACCTTCAGCAGAATTTCAATTAGTTGTGACATCCAGCTCAAGCTGTACAGGCAGTTGGAGGGCTGAGCTGAATGCTAGTCAAAGGCACATGGATTTCAATATTATTAACATGCTAAACACATTTTTAATGAAGAGAGTGTGGCAGTGTAGAAAAGCTTTCCCAGGAGATTCAGAAAGCACTGAAAAAGGAGGAAGAATCTCACAGAGCAGCAACTTACAGTGCTTAGTTAGTAGATGTCCACTTCTCACATTCTGGTGAGGATCTTTGGAGTAAGAATTATGCTGAACTGTCAGTTACACAATGCCAAATGCTTTGGACCTCATCCTGCACCTGAGTAACAACTTCTAACTGGGCTATACACCCAGGCAAACTTCCAACCGGATGTTGCAGCTTTAAAGTTAATGCCCCCCTGTCCCTCAACTTGCATCAGACTTTTGAAGACACACAAAGGAAGTGGAAGTTAAATGCTACTGCATCAGCACTGAGACACTTTTCAGGGGTGATACAAGTAAGAATTAGGCGCTCTGTCTTCCATGAGCATCCATCCATCCCACAGGGCCTGAACATGGCATCATACTGAGGTCTGGCTACTCCAAGATTCAAATAGGTATTGCAAATTAATCAGAATTGACCTAGATTTGCAAAGCTGCCTAGAGAACTGTGTCCAGCACCTGTTTTCACATGACTTGGCCCTAGGTTGCTCTACAGGGCTCTATCTGAGAAAAGTTAAGGATTGGCATACTATGGACATACAGTTTAGGAGGGAAAAATATCTCAGAGCTGCACAGAGCAGCTTGCACTGTATCTTTGTCCTTTGACTCATCTCCCAAGCCTGAGATTAATGGCATGACCAAGAAGGTGTAATGGAAGAGAGGAGGGAGCACTATAAAATCAAAGAGCAGAGTACTTTAGCTTCTTCCAGAGAAAAATGCTGCCAGCAGGCTGAAGGCCAGGCAGCAGAGCAGAGCTGCACCTGACATGGTAGGCATGTCCCAAGACAGAATCAAACACAGTCTTGCCCCAAGGAAAATACAAAACACACCACAAACCAAGAACTGCTTGTTCTCTAGCGCCATGCCAGCACTGCTTTCCAAAAACAACATTGCTGAACCTTCTAAATGCTTGCTTTCTATCCAGTACTTTGTTATTATTTTCTTCAGATTTTGATACGTTCTTCAGCTAGCAATGCTTGTTTCCTTACCAACTGTCTTTTTTGACATGCTTTGGTAATCTGGCCATGCAGGTTGTGTCCTGCCACATTTTTTTCAGTTGCAAAGACAAGATCTGCACAAGGGACATTCCAAAGAACACTGAAAGCAAAGAAAGGTGCTGATGGCAAATATATACAATCACAATTCATTTGGAGAATCAGAAGGACTAGATGTCCTTCTTTAGGCAGCCAGGCCACTGCCCCACAACAACAGAAATTTTGTGAGGCGCCATGGGATGAGTTTGGTGGATGAAGGGTGAAATTTTTTTTTATTGTCTTTCCCCTCTCAACTATTCATCTTTTCAGTTTTCATTTCAACAGGCAGATTATATCATGAGGGAGCAGTTTTCATTTCCAACTTGGAACAGCATCGGTGGCTACATAAGAGAGGGAACAGATGATTAAAACCACTGAGCATCACAAATCAGGTTTTGATTTGCATATAAATTAGGTTCTAAGGGGGAAGCCTGAGTAGGATTGGATAGCTCAATGGATGGCCAAAGATGTGCAGAAACTCACACTGGGTGTAACTGTATTAACACTGATGAAGAGGCCCCTTGCTTAGTTGTTCTAAGGGGGAAGCCTGAGTAGGATTGGATAGCTCAATGGATGGCCAAAGATGTGCAGAAACTCACACTGGGTGTAACTGTATTAACACTGATGAAGAGGCCCCAGAAATTGCTCTTAGTTATAACCCCTTTTGTTTCTAAATAGCTAGTTCAATTTTGGCTCAGGACTGCTGAGAATAATAAAACAGCAGCAAAGAGAACACATAACACAAAGCTGTTGGACGACTAACCAGAATAAAGTTACCTTTAAGAGGTAACTACAAGAATAGCTGCAGTCACATCCTGGTAGAGATGCACAGCCCTTCCTTGAATGTGGGCTGAAGAGAGGCCTGAACACCTACTGGCTCCTGAGTTCTTCTGCTGATGCTACTGGGAAAAGCAGTCATACCACCAAGGCTGCTCTGGGGCAAACCTTGGTCTTTAATGGTATCAACCAGCCCACTTCAGTACCAATGCAACCACCCAAAGTATTTAACATTTATATGAGGCAGTCAAATTTTAATGATAAGAGCATCCAGCAAGCCTGCAAGAATGGAGACAGGGCAGAGAAGAGAGGGGAAAGCATTGCATGACATGGTTGTGCCCAGGAGGAGGAGATGGCGTCTGTTACATGTGAACGCTTGAAGATCTCCAAGCCAAATGGCACCAACAGAGTCACTTAATATAACCATGAAGCACCCAATGCATCATTTGTCCAGCAGCATCTTTAATAGAGTGCCAGCCACACCCAAACTCTGTCAGAGCCTGAGTGCCTCAAGCCAGCAAAAAATACAACCATAACCCCTCGAGATGATCTGGCTTTGTAAGTGATTATCATCTCTCAACCCTTAATGTAGAGTCAAACACCATTCTTGCAGTGTGTGGCTACCCGGTGTCACTTAGGCACGATGAGAAGAGAGTTCCCCTCCCCTTCTGATTCTCGAAGCGATCCCCTGCATTGGCAGCAGCCTTACCTGACACATTTAAGATGGAGGGAGAGATGTCTGGAAGCCCCACTCTAGAGTCTCCCATCCACCAGACAATTGTCACTGGTTCAGGGGGACCAACAGCAGCACAGGCCATATGAAATGGGGCATTAGGGGACACAGACACATCCTCAGGTTCCACAGTAAAGTAGGGCACACCTAGAAAAGCAACAGACAAGTGACAATAACTGGAGAGACTCCTTCTGTCTCTTGTTTATTTCCACTAATACTGGTGCCCAACACTGGGCATCCATCTGCCCTGCTGCTATGCCTGATCTGATACCCTCTAAACCCTTCCCAAGAACCAAGGGTCAGATATGCTGGATCACCTTAGGGCATGAATGGCTAAATACTACCACTAGAAGTCACGAGAAAGAGTGCTTGCTTCCCAAAATGCCTTTAAATACCACTTTCACTGAGCCTCCTTGAAGACTCCCCTATGAAACAGATTTTAGCAGTAGTATTTGCTCAAATTTTCAGCTGGAGAGACTGGAGTTTAAAGAGATAACAGTCAATAACTTTAGTTGTGGCAGACACCACTTTAAAAGATAGCTAATCCAGCTGCAGATACTTCTTGTCGTGCATTAAAAAATGAAGCTTGAGAATGTGTTGAACTAGCATCTGTAACAAACCCATGAATGAGGAAAAGTATCCTCCTGGTGAGAGACAGGGATCATTTACAATGTTCTCTCTGCAGCTTAAGTGACTGGAGATACCTTCCAGCACGCTCTGACACGGACCACAGGGCTGCCTTGGAGTCAGGTGTAATTTGTTTCAGAGCTCAAGGTTATCCATGGACACAGCTCTCTTGATAACTACCTGTTCCCCATCATAGAAAGACTCCTACTTAGTACAACAGGTCTTAGATCAGGCCCATAGGGAACAAAACGCAGCTGCAATGCTAACTAAGTCACATCAGCTCTAAGCAGCGATAGCTGAGGGTAATGTGGTTCCTCTTATGGGCAATGCCAAAACTCTTGTGGTTTCAGGGTTCCAAACCAGTAACACTAACTTCACCAGCCATCAGCACCAGTGCTGACCATGCAGGACAGACAGTATACTTCTGGTGGTTGGTAGAAGAGCTGAAGGCCCAGAGAAATGTTCAGTTCTCTTTTATGCTAAAATCGCTGGGTGTCAAACACAGCCACTACTGACTACCTCTACCCCAAAATCAGGTATTCTCAGCTGGAAAAATTGTGTTCTGGAAATGGCTGATCTGTCACCTCACAGAAAGAGAGGAACCAACAACATTGTGCATTCACGTGCTGAAATTATGCAGTCTGTCCCTGGCCAAAGATGACAAACCCAAGGGCTTTCATTAGTGTGGCAGATGCTGAGCACTTCCACCAGCAGGCAACTAATGCAGGTGCCTAAATAGGGAATTAGAAGCCTAACACTTGACATTTCCCCTAAGGCACAACCAAAAGTGGTATCCTCAGCCTTTCACTGACTGTCCAGTTGCTGTTTCTCCTTCAGGTGGCAGCTACTTTGTGCCTTCCTTGCCTCCTTGCCACTCCCTTTAGAGTGGTGAGTGAACAAACTAAAACAGGTCTAAAAACAGGTCACTTGAGGAACAGCAGTGTCTGTCTGTGCAAAGGCAAATGTTCAGGACAGATATATCCATCATCATGGCTTACTGCTTGGTTTTGTTTACATATTTCACTTCATTTTTTTATTGCATTCATACATAAAACAACAAAAATTAATAAGCTTCCCAGATATCAGCAATGACACATCTGCCTGCTTTGCCCTCCTTCTTCAAGGAAGATTAGAAGAGAAAATATTCACCATTTCTTCTACCTGTGAGCAGGATTCCTCCCTCCTGTCCATTCACCATGACACCCAAGGTAACCCTTCAGAAGGATCCTGCCCAGTTTGGCAGGTTTTCTCACTTTGGGAGCAACTAAACAGATCAGACAAGACCACAATTAAAAACTCTCATAGTTTAGGGAGTGCATCTGACTCATCCAGCTGAGGAACTTGCACTGTCCCCGTAAGTGTGTTACTTGGACAGCTCACTGTCTGTGACACATTTAGCCTCCCAATTTCTGCTACAGCAGGTGAGTGTCACCATGCCTGTTTCACAGATGCACATGGAGGCACTGAGCAGCAAGGAAATCAGTGGCAAAGCCAGGAAATGATCCTGCCTTGCTCTGTTCCAAGCCAGCATCCAGCCTATGGGGCTGATTTTTTTGTACAGCTCAGTTTTTAGACAGTGTTAATTCAGGTGAATGTGTCCATATAGGTGTGGCTTGGGCTCTGACTGTAGCCACCATGGGGGTAGCAGCCCCAGAAACAGCCACATGGTCAGAGGTGTAATTTCAAAGGGAAAGTTCTGTAAGAAACAATCTGTATTTTTAACACTCTACAGTGTGCTTCTTAGATCCTCTCTCTGGGCATCAAACACTCTCATGTTCTCATTAAGGATAGAGTCTTGTTTCTAAACCAGAAAACAGTTTCAAAATAATTTTGGTTTTGTAAATTCTAAGGAGTGTTTCATAGGATCAAATATTTTTATTGCAAGGTCAGTTCAAGAAATCAAGATTGCCACAAATTCTGGCAGATGCAGACTACCTAAGTAGACCTCAAGGCAGATACTATACAGCATAGAAATCCAGTCAAGCTCACTTTCAGTTAGATCACCAATAGTCCACACTTGTCTGTGTGGCACACTGAAGGGTGTCAGCACCTACTAAAGTCTGCAAACCACCAAAGTAAAGACCCATTCTCAGTCAGAGGACAACATTTGTTATCAATAGACCAACCACTTCTTACAGAGCTGGTACACCCAGAGAAGAAATACATGCAGAGATAACAATGAAGGTGGGACTGATAGGCTTTTGCATTCCCTAGTGTTTACTCATGCCAACTGCTGACACATTTTTAGAACTCCACTCCCTATCACTACTTGTTAATTTTTAATTTTATCCACTAACTCCCTTTGCACATGATTACATGCTCTGTTCAAGTTTAACTACCTTCTGCCATACTTGCTTTTCTCATAAAGGTGACTGGTTGCATGTTTTTTTTGCTTCTGGTGTAAGCTGTGGCCCTCATTCTCAATACATTCTGTCTTAACCTAGCTGCAGCTGGTTTTTGTGACTGATATTTTTACGCTGTGCTGTCCAGAAGGGCACCTTGGTTTTTTCAGACAGCTTAGCACACTGAGCTACCCAATTGCTCCTAATGTACCCACCATGCAAATGCAGCCACCTCTGGAGTGGGCCATGGTAATTGGCACAGAAATAGAAACTCTGCACGAGCGAGCATTTTAAGCTATAAACAATGTCCTCCGGTTGAAACTGCACCTGAAAATTTAGGTGGACAAAAGCCTGGGATTTATGAAAGGCAGGATGAGAGCTGCTATGAATATTTCCATGACTCTGAGTGAGCAAGACCTTGGCTTATAAAACACCCAGACCACACCACCTCTCACAACACCCTCCCTGCTCCCCTCTATTTAAGACTGTCAATTCAGCTCTGGCGCAAAATGTTACCAAACACGTCCAAAAAGCCACTTCTTGCTGCAAATGCACTGTTCCTGTCAACTTCTTCACTAAATATTAAGCCATGCTATGACTACTAGCTTCTGAAGACCTCACAGAATCATGGCTCAAGGGAAATGAAACTAGAGACAATAAGAAGCCACCGATCCACACTGTCTCCTTGGGTGACTTTTGGGCAACCATGTAGAAATTATTTTTATCAGACAAGATTGGACAGAACAGTGCCACATGGAACAGTCACAGCTATGAAGCACTAGTGCACAGCACTTCTCCCATAACTCAGACCGGGGCTAAAACTCGATCTCAAAGACCTGTTTGACTGATACACAGAATCAGAGTGTGATGCTGCTTTGAGAACTGGGTTGGATCAGATAAGCCCCGTGGATCCCTTTCAACCTGAACTATTCACCATTCTACGAATTATTTAGAGATGAATGCCACAATGGATTGAGGACCTGGAAAGAAATGTGTGTGCATGAAAGGATCTTGTTTCCTAACATGCCAAAATAAAACCAGAAGGCAATGAACTGACAGCTCTGCTCCTTGAAGCAATTCTCCTATTTCTTACTCCTGCTCTGTAATGATCTCACTGCAGCTAGCAGCAATGGTTCAGAGCCAAGAAGCCTGTCACTTTTGCAATCTGCTCTCACCACTTTGACCTAGCGCATATTGGTGGGTCAGCCCTGAAAGGAAATCAGCACTACTACTCCTCCTTACCTTCCACTATGAGCCACACTTGCTGTGATTCTTCCTTCTTCCCCCCGTTCTCAACCTGGCACCAGTACTTCCCAGAATCTGTCCGCTCGACGGATTTCAAGCTGAAAAAAGTCAAAAGCCATATCGATATTTTATGTGGATAAAGCAAGTTTTTGCCCCAGAGGACCCTCTAATGTTTGGCAAACCAGATGCATGGAAAACACCCTCTGAGACACAGCCAGCTCCGAGGAGGAGATCAAGAGCCAGCCAGCACAAAGCGCCTGGCGAAACAGCAGAGAGGGGAGGCTCCTCTCTAAAGTGGGTGGAGAGAGTTCTCGGCAGAGCAGACAGCCTTCATTCAAAACATCCTTGCAGAAAATCAGTCATCTGTGTCCTCTGAGGATAGGAAGGGGTTGGTCATCTTGATCCTGAATCATGACTCTAGCTAGCTTTCAAGAACGGCAGTTTGGCCTACAACATCTAGGCTAGCAGGAAACTCCAAATTGCAAACCTCCAACAAGCCTGACTGTTTTGCCTCCATAGGTGACAGGACTGGCGACAGCCTCATACAGGAACAGGTGGATCAGAAAAGGACCTAACTAGCTGCAACTACACTCAGTGCTATTCTTATCCCAAGAGTGGCTTACTCTGCAAAACTCCTTGGGCCTCTCAGTTTGTGATTTCAAGGGGTTATGCTGGACTACTCCAGCACAGGACTGCATCCTACAAGCTCTTTTGTGTCCTCCCCTGCTCAGCAGCAGCTCCCCCGCTGAGATGTGCCCAAGCAAGGGAAGACAGCCATGGGGTCTGAGCAGCATTCGACCTGTAGGCCTCCAGTTCAAGGGAGAAATTCTGCCCCTTACTCTACTGCTGAGGGTACTGTGGTACCCTCACTGAAGCTACCAATACGAGGCTAGCATGGTGCACAAGGGCAGAATTTGATCCCAAAGCAACAAGGTCTTGGCTACCAAAGGCACCAGCGTGACTCTGAGCACCTGTCAATGTACCAATGTTGACTGCCCCCCACAGGATGTGCACCTGCTGCCATGCAGGGATCCCCCACAGAGCTGATCCCCACCTCTCTAATGCTAGTGCTCCTCCTTTGAGAAGGGGAAGAATGGCTCAGGAAGGAAGACAGAACAGGGAGGGTGTTTGCTGAAATGCAGAAAATGGACCCACTACAGCCTGATTTTCAGAGCTGGACCTTCAAGTGGCATCAGCTGTCCTGCCCATCCAGCCACATGTTCTGAAACACAGTGATCACAGCAGTGAGTCACACAGTGGGTGGGTAGAAATGATCACTTTAGGAGGAGTTTACTTGGTGGAATTGGAGACTCTGTGCAGTGTCAATCCAAGAAATCTGACAGGAGATGAAGCCAGAGCTCAGGGAAGAGTGATTCTCAGTCAATAGTTTTGAACTCTCACAGTAATGACATTTGCTTGTAAAAGCTCTCTTAAAACATAAAAAAAAGACAGAGCAGAACCTGTGGTCTTGTTTAACTTGGTACTTCCAGAACTAGCTGACATCCCTCTTCTGCTGAAATAAAAGCAGAGAGCTGCTTAGCAGAAGAGAGATCTTGTGCCTCTGAATGGGGCAGAACTGATACCATGTAGTGTAAATGTATTAGGAATGAACTAGGATTCATTGCAAAATGAATCAGGGATGGTTCAGGTGACAAACACTCCTCCCCAGAGTAAAGATGGGGATGTAGTCCTGAGAGTCTCACCTCAATTAACAATCCTCACCCTTTAGGTAAATTGACGGCTCAAAAGAGAGAGTAAGAGAATGGAATGAGTAGGAGAGTCAGACCTTAGTCTGCCTGCGGCATTGCAGAACAAGATGAACAAACAAGGCAAGAACATCCTTTCACCTTGAAGTCACGTCTCAAGCATTACAAGCATTAGCAAAGCACCTGTGCCCACAGGAGTCAGGGAAATAATATGGTTCTAGCGCGTAAAATCTCACCACTCAGTGGCTTCAATTCTGCTTTCAGTTATGCCCTTGCCACATGGTGAACTGCAGAACTAAGAACCTTGCCCCGCTGAGGTCAGTTGCATAGATATAGCTGACAGCAGAAAACTGCAATAATTTCCACGATATTCTTCTTTCTCTGCATCTGTTGTACCTGAGGAAGCTGATCCAGTGTTCTTCATCTACTGGAATGTACACCTGGTCTACGCTTTGCACCACTGCTCCGTCCTTGATCCACAACATCTCAGGATCTTCCATTCCCTCGAGGCTGCAATTTAGTTTCACGGGTTGACCCTGGGACACCTTTAATTTGATTGGAGGTCCTGTAAATTTCATACCTAAAAAAAACATACTACTCCGCCCCACCCCCAGAAGAAGGGGGGTTGGAGTACAGCAAATTACTCTAGGTTGGTAGTCTGGAATTACATACCCTAACAGCACACGCTGCAGAGGGGGGCGTTAGTCTCGGCACTGTTCTACTATGTCTGCCAAGCAATAGTCAAATGCAAGCTCTGAAAGCACAATTGCTGGAAAAAAGTGGTGGTTCAGTGTGTACACGGGGACATTTTCAAGTCATGTAACAGCAGGGTGACATTCTACAGAGCGGTGCCCAAGCAGAGACAGACAGAAACACTGTGAGCTTCGCCGTGTCAGGGATCCAGCAGTGCTAACTGCATTTGTTCAACACGCTACCACACTTCCCTCTTTTCCCCAGACTTGAATTTCAGCTATGGTGTTCCTGTGTTGCTAAGAAATCATCATGCTTGCTCCATTGTATGCATTTGTAAAGAGCTGGGATATGAGAAAGAATCAATTATGTCTCGTTATTCAGCGTACACTGTTCCCCTGCACTACGGAAAGCTTCTCTGCAATTTGCAAAACCCATGAAAGCAAAGCCTATTCCACAGCATACCTCACCGAGGAGCAGAACTGTTTAGAGAACAGATATTTCTGTCGCGTGACGTGGGTGTGCACTCAGATGAGCCTCTGACCCTTCAGTCCAACCAAAGGACCACGTTGTACCCAGAGCTATATCAGTGCAACTCCAAAGCAGCAGAGTCAGTGGAGCTGCTCAGGTTTATATTGACACAGAAGTGATCAGAATTTGGCCCGGAGCACTGTTACATGCGTGGGTGGATGGGGAGTGTTTCCTTCAAGCAGAAGTGAATATATGGAATTTGTTACCATGAGAAGACACAGAAGCCAACTATCTAAGTGCATTTAAGAAAGAAAGGCATAGAAAGGAGGAGCCAGAAGATCAAAGGAGACCGTGGGAAAGCAAGAAGGTGGAAAATAAATGTAAAGTTAGTTTTATTAGAGAGAGTGGCCATTTCCTATGCAGTGGCACAGGACTGACAGACCAGAACGCATCTAGCCTAGTTCAATATTATGCCCTGGCAGTGATTTCCACATCCTTCAGAAAAGAAAATATATCACTTCATCACTCTTGCCCAGCCATGTAGCACAGTACATTACAAGTTCACCCAGTTCACTGGCTGGTCAGCTTCTCACAGGATGCCTTGCTAGCCCACAGAGCCAGACAGAAAAACACCACTTGTTTCAGAGCCCTGTTGCTCTCAAACTCTGTTACAGACTTACCAGTGATCAAACACAGACTTCTGATGTGCCATTTCCCTTCTTGCCCATACCACCCTCCCATAGCCACGAGGGCAGCACCTTGCAGGGCAGAGCAGCAGCAGAGGAACTCACAGCATGGTTGTAACAGCTGGGAGAAGGGAAACCAGCACTGTGGGACCAACCAGCACTCTGTCACTAGCAGATGAGTACCAGTGGTCTGGGAGTGAAGCCAGAACACAGGTAGAAGGTCTTTATTCCTTTCCTTAATGAGATCCCCCAGCTTGCTAACAGCTGGTTTCCCATACTCAGTCTTTTGCCTTTCGACCCACTGTTATTAATTTAGTAAATTCACAGAGAGCACTGGAAAACAGACAAGATGATCATTTTAGTTTAGTTGCTACAGCTCGTTAGCTGGGCTAAGGATTTAATTACCTTGGGTGAGGATGATCTAACCTCACATCACTTAACTCAAATGTAACACAAATGACATGTCCCAGTGCATGCCAGAGAGCATCCTCCCTTTCACCACTCAGAATACTGGAATATAACATGAAAGCTTCATAGCAGCTCTCTCTGTGTTACAGAAAACCAATGTAGCCAAGTTGCTGAACACCTGCACAAATTGACAGACACTTTCAATACAGGTGCCTTCATGGAAATCAAACTACTCAACTTCCTCCAGATTGCCCTGCTGAAATAGTTATCCACAAATTCAGCAGTGTTGTTAGAGACCCTTTATAGTTTTCTGTTCGCAGAGAAATTAACGTAGGAAATTAACATATAAGTGTTCAGTCTGAGTTGTACCAGTTGTCAATATCAACCAAAATGAAGAATTACAGATCTGGGTTTTTTAATAAATTCATAGGATAAAAATGTAGTTTTGGCTGCAGCATCTCTTTCCTGGAAGTATCAGGAAGAATCACATAGGAAGACAATATGGATTTTAATTTCCACCTATTTTTCCTTCTACTCTCCTACTCATGATTTCTCATCCGACAACATTCTTGACTGTGCAAGAAATAATGTCAACCAAACAGGTTCCACCAAGCCTACCTGTAAGAGCTGCAGGCTTTGAAATGCATAGATAGGAAATAATGTGTTAAATTTGTTATCAAACAGTTGTCAGAACTGACAGCAAGCAAACATACTAGTTGTCAAAATACATGACCTATCTGTTTGTTTGGTTTTTAACTTGCTACCTCTGAATATTTTGATTCCTAGGAGCAGAAGTATGTTTTTCGGTAAGTTATGTTGGGAGCGGAGAGAGGAAGACATCTGCTCACGCACGCCAAGAGAAAGGCTTTTCCCTCCTCACATTCCTTAGGACACTGATCTAGCGATCCCAGCTGTGCCACAGCCTCCCGAGCTCCGTGTCACCGCACGCACATCGCTCCACGCACAGCGCGGAGCCCAAACTCCCGGTGAAGTCGGGAAGAGGTTGGCCGGGGAGCCGAGATGCTCTCACACGCCGCCTTTCCCTGCCGACTCGGGGGTGAAAGTTCAGAAAACGCGTTCAGGAGGGAAAAAAACATAACAAAAGCCACTGAGGAATGCGTTAACGCCCGGCTTTCCTCGGCGGCGGCCCGCGCTAGGCACATACCAGGGCAATTTTTCCGCAAACAGCGGGGAGGATCACTGGGGCTGCGGCTCGCCACTCCACTCGCCGGCGGGCGA